TAGAGGGTGGCGGAGTAATTAGGGGTTGCGGTTGCGGCGGAGAAGTCGGTGAACCGTCGCCGCAACTGCCGGAAAGTTGGGAGTTGAGCTTCGTCGACTCGGGCAACCAGTCAAAATCAAGGCCCGCGAGGACGGCGGAGGGGGAGACGGAGAAGTCCATTCGGCGGAGGAGACGGCGGCCGGCGCGTGACGGAATGCGAAACCGAAGCTCACAAGGCCGGAGGATGAATGCGAGTGAACGCGGCCTGAGGGACTACTTATACTGTGTGAGTTCTGAACGATGACGTGGAATATCACGCCACGTGTTTTTTTCTTTCTTTTCTTCTCTTTTTAATATCGTTGACTTTTATTACCCTCTTTAATTATTATTATTATTATTATTATTTTCGAAAATTTAACAGAAAAATGCTCTCGCTTGGTATGGTATGGTAACGGAAAATTGCTCCGCTATTTACCGAAAGTAATTTAATTAGCATAAACATGGATATATATTTTCTTATTTTTTAAAAAATTAAAAAATTAATTAAATTTTTATAGCTACGAGTTAGTGATATTTTTCTCTTTTATTAATCTTTTAGAATATCACATTATAAAACTTTGTCTCTAAACTTTTGTGGTTGTTATTTCTAATAGGCTGCTGAATTTCAAAAAATATCTAATAAAATTTTAAGTTTTAAATGCTCTATCTAATTGGTCTATAAACTTTAAAAAATATCTAATATTTTTATGCAACTTTCGAGTTTGATTCCGAACAGAATCTTTGACTTATTGAGCACTTTATAAGCCTATCACTCTAATTTAATAGATATAGAAATATATTAATTATTAAACTATGTTTAAGTTGACTATTTATAATTTGTTTGACAAACAATTTTATTTCTTGTTTTTCATTTTCTTTTGGTAGCTATTCTATGTTTCTTGTGTTTTACTTTTTTTGTTTAATTGAAAAATAAATTAAAATGTCCATGTTTCTTATTCTCTAAAATTTTAATTAAAAAAAGTAAAAGTTTTATATGCAAATTGTTTTTTAAAATTAAATATTCAAAACTTGTATATTACATTTACTTTTTGATATTTTTTATGAATTATATAAGTTAAGAATGGTAAAATAATGCCTGTATTTATACTTTGGAAAAAAATAGGAACAAGGGTGAGAAACAAAAAAAATTTATTTCGTGTTTCCAAAATTTTTACCAAACTTTAAAAAAATTTCTTAGAAAATGAGAAAGAAAAAGCAAGAATAGCTACAGGCAACTAAAAGCCTTAACAAATGAGCTTTTAATATTTTTTCTAGGAATGTTTTTTAAAATTTAATCACATATTAGTTTCAATCTTATTGTCCGATATAGTTTCTTTTTATTAAAAAATAAATAAATAAATCCCCCTTTATAATTTAGTCGAATCTTCTAAAAATGTTCTTAAATCATTTCTAAATATAAATAATTTTCTTACGTGATATTTTCTTCAAACATTATAGAGCTAAATAGGTAATGAAAAATCTAATAATAGTAAATACTAGACTTAGACTACATTAGTACATCCTTACTCCAACAATATTGTAAAGCAATTAATTGTAAAGCATTTTTAAATACCATTGATTCAAACAACCATGGGAAGAAAAAGAAACCCAAATGGCTGTCAATTTGGATCAAGATTAAAAGTAACCTCAAGGGGGAGGGAATGGAAGTCAAAGAAGGATCTTTCAAGGGTTCCTTCGATATCTTCTTCTCTTCTATTGAAAAATTAACGAGCGGCTATTCTTTTCAAAAAAATCTGTTTTTGCATTTCTCTCTTTTAATTATCAAATATTTAATGACGGTATTGGTAGGCAAACTTCTAATGGTCGATCTGTTGGGTAATGTCCACCAAATTCGACCTGACAGGTCGGGGTCAAATACTCCAACACAGAAGAAGGCATACCAAACCCCATCTTGAAGCACGTAAGGATCCAGGGACGTGCACGGACCAATGGTCTGTCAGATGAGCATAGTCCGAGCATGGAAATATCCTAATGGGATAGATAGCTACTCCCATTGATGGCTATAAGTACACTACCATCCCACCAATCCAGGTACGAAGAATCTGTCTGAAACTAATCTATCTAAATTCAGATACTGTATTAACTTGAACGTCGGAGTGGCTTACCTGTCCCTGCAGGTACCTCGGAGAAGTTTGCTCCCGACCTCTCTCGCCGACATGACAGGTCACACCTCGAGACTTAGGCATATTTTGGCATTAAAAGACGATGAAGATAAGATTGGTACTCACCCATAAAGAGCATAGTATTTTCTTATATAATATATCACTTAAAAAAATGAAAACTTACGGAAACCAATAGATTGCCATGAAGACTTCACTCACACAACACCAACTAAGTGCCCTTTTTTACGTTTCGTTCATTGGTTGGTCTTTTTTTTAACTACTTACCCTTTCCATTTCCCTTCCCTTTCCTCAGCTCTTGAACCCACAAAATAAAAAAGGAAAAAAATCTCACTGTTTGCTTAGTTCCATTTCAATTGAGAATAGAAAAGGGGAAAATGTGGGTACTTTTTATGGTTGTGGCCAAAAATGAAAATGGGGTGCGACCCAAAAGCATGTTTGTGATGAAATTGGGATTCAAAGCTGGAAACTAAGTCTCTCAAAACAGTATTCTCCACTTCTTCCATGGGGGCCTCTCTCAGAAAGTTTTGGTATTTTCCTTCATCTCCTCCAACTAATATGTTCGAAAGGCAATTTTAGAGATGCCCATATCAGGAAATGGAACACAAAAAGATTAGTTTAATCAGATACAGGTTGATTTAACCCGGAGATGCCCAGAGAAGACAATTTTGGTCATTTGAAATGTTCGTTTTGGTCACTGTACTTTTAAAAACATGATTATTTTCATCTTTCACTTTCATTTTTTCTCACTTATTTCATTCAAAATTTTAGCATAGAACACTTTAATCATTTAATTTCTTGAAATGTAACCATAAATTTATATTAAAGTATTTCTATTGTGTATAAACTTTATGTTAAATCAAGTAGGAACCAAATTGTCACTTTTTAAAAGTCCAGGGACCAACACAAAAATTTTGAAAGTATAGAGATTAAAATGAACTAAAGCTTTTTTTAGTACAACATGTAAAAGTGGGAAATTGAACTCACAACCTCTTCGTTGGATATGTCAATTACCGCTAAGCTATACTCACTTTGACCTAAAATGAAATAAAGAATACTGAGACCAAAATAGTATTAGACCTATAAATAGTGGGTTGAGAACCGTGTGGGTTTTCCACATCAAAGGGTCATTTCCAGAAGTGAGCTGAGTTTATTTCAAGAGAGGAAGAAAAAAAGGGTGAAAGGGCAAGTTGAAAGAATAATTAGTGAGTCGAAGCCCATGAAGATAAGGCAAAGGCATATAAGAGTCACTTTCATGTGTATGTTATTTCCATTAAAAGGAGGAGAATAACTCTATGCTTTGAAATTAATCAACCTTTTGGATGAGAATTGAAGACTTGCTTTTTGAAATAATAGTATGCATACGATTACGAGTGTGGATCAGCTTCAATATTTCACTTTCTCGAGAGTTTGTCAGTCTTTAATCATAAGGTGCCCATCAACGAAACGAATGTGGAGTTGTTCATCACTATTTTGAATAACACTTTTACTTTACTATTTTAAGAATAAATAATTGTTCGGATAACTTTTCAATTGTAATCGAAAATTTAACCCAAAGATTATTCTTAAAATAAAAAACATAAAAGTGTGTATATGAAAACAATTGTCAAATAAACAACATAAATGTTGCCTTTCCAAATAAACCCACTGTTTCTGGTTTAATTTAAGGGGCTAATCAAAATGGTTTCAAAACTAAAGATAGCATTAAAACCTATAAATTTCTATGGTGATATTCTGGTATAGAACTTCAACTGGGTGGGGGGCTTCTTTTTGACACGTTTCAAAACAGTACAGAAGCAGCCTCAACTATGGAGGAAACTTCAAGGACGGTTTGGTTGAAACTGCATAAAGGGGCTTCTCCATTATAAAAAATCAAGGCCTTAACGACTCTTTGGTTGCAGAGAAACCAAAATTCTATCACTATCATATTTTGATGCCTAAATACAGTGCTCTATAAGGTCCAAATGGTAGAGAATAGACTGTCATGTTCAGCAGATATATACACAACAGCAGCAGAACTCAAACCTACAGGAGAATCTTTCAATTCTATCATAACAGAGAAGACAAAAATCATGCCACCCATCGATCATAGGACCGAGAAACGTAGAGGGAGTTGAGTTTCTACATACCTGGTTGATTCGGTTTTTGATCGTACTGTCAAATGCCAATCTAAGCTTTCTGATCTTTGATTTTGCAGCTTGAATGCAACAAGTATGTAGGGGAGCAAAAGAATTCCTTTTCTACTTCTAATTAATAAATATGTAGAAGACCAACCAAATTTGTGAAATTGGCCTGTTTTCTCATTTACACTTCAGAGAGAGAGAGAGAATATTTTTTTGTAACTAATCTACATGTAAACAAAATATCTACCTGTGCTATTAGACATTGTCAAGGTCCTTAAGCTTAGATGCATGTCTATCTCTATCTATCTATCGTGCACCAAGGCAAATCAATATACACTTGTAAATGCAAAAATAGTGCAACTTCAATTTGTCATAAGTCTCAGCCAAGAGAACACAAATTAACTCTGCAGAATAAACGAGTGGGAAACTGGTTAGTACTTGGACATTGGAACCATACATCGTCAAATAGTAAAGCATATTAAATGCACTGTCAGCTTAATAAGATAAGAAGCTTAATGCCATGCTCAAACCCAAGACAAGTTAAGAACACATCTTTTCTGGCAATTCACATTCCAAAACATAGCTCTTGGTCATTAGAGGTCCAAATTTCAAAACACACCTATTTCCACTTCCATTTCGACTTTACCAAAATAATAGTTTTGACCAACGCCCTTTCATAATGCTTTATATAGAATCGGTCTCACTTGAGAGCAACATTTATTAATCTAATGAATTCATGTATAAGCAGAAGCAGGAAGCAGTAAATCAACAGAAAATTCAAAAAGAAAATAGCAAAATGGAACCATAACAATACAAGGATACCGGAAATCCCACTAAAAAATTCTACTTATTACACCGGATGAAAGTGTTGTCACCGAGATGCTCGTGGGAAACATGCATGGAAAAAGGAGTGATTCCACAGAGAGATTACTTGAAGAAAACACAAGTTCACAAAGTAACCTTCATTCATTTTTTATTTGGATAATTTACATAATTTACCTCAAATACCTTCTTTCATCTAAATAACAAATCGATTTTACTAATAGGAAATAGCCTTAAAATATAAAACTAAAAGCATTTATTATACAGACTAACAAAACAATGTATAACTTTTTTTGGATAAGAAACCTTTTATAGACAAAACAATGTAACAGGTAGAAGGAAGGCAGATATTCAATCCATAACATTAAATACTAAAGACGCTCTAATTCATACAGGAAGTGTACCATCCAAATTCCAAAAGTTAATACCAGACTGACAACTACCTGTGTTGCTCATTATGATATGCCTGCACTTAGCAATCCAACCGGCCTTTCTCTCCCAAATGCTTCATCATCAAAATCTTCATTAGTTGAATTTTCTTGACATATCAACTTCGTCTCTTCTATAGGTTTAGAAGCCTTCATAATCTTTTGACCTTGACACATATCATCATGATCGGACCCATGATTGGTGTCTACGCTGTGCTCCAGATTTTGCCTCGCATCACCATAAATTTGTTCCATTCCTTTAACATCATCAATACATGGAGGCTCTGTGTTGAGATCAGAGCCAATGTCATATCCAGTATGTTCTCCAGATGCATGGTAAGCTACTGTCACCAGTCCATGGTCAGATGATTGCTCAATGACATCCTTTTTAGGCCGCTTCCACTTCTTGGTAGAAGAAGTACCATCATCCTCAAAATCTTCTTCTTCTCGTTCTCTATGCAAATAAACCCACAGTTTTCTTTCACCATCGAATTGCACACAAGGATCTCGTTCATAATGCAATCGGTCCAATGCACCACTAACAACTTGATTTACCTGTGCATCAGAGACATCTTCCACAACATATTGTGAATCTCTTATCAACGTACACACATCTGCCCTGGTGCCAATACTTCCTGGCAATCGTGCAGCAGCATCTCTCACAAGACAGAGAATTGTGACATGTGGCGGGCGATCTTTCTTCAGCATGAAATGCTCCCGTGCCTTTGAAGTAGGCTTGCCACCACACCTTCTTAAGGGAGCAACAATGGATTTTTTACCATCAGCTGCTGTGTAAGAGAAAGCACGATCAGGAATCGAGTACCTAAGAACTTCTTCCCGACGAAAGTAGGCCCTCACCTCATCAGTACTAGAGCTAATAGTATTAAGACTCTTCTGAGCTCTCAAGTCCCTAAACCTTTCTTTCTCATCAACATTGAACTGCATTAAAGACGCAGGTGGTGCAGGAAGACTTCCTATTTGTTGAAGAGTTTCTTGACCACTTTTAAGCCAATTAGCAAAGGAGTCGACCAACTTAACAAGCATCTTATGGGGAAGACCCCAAGCTTCAGGTGACGTCACCTCTTCAATGGCCTCATAATCTGATGAACTTCGAGAAACTGGCCCAATCCAGGACCATGTTTTTGTTGATTTTTCATAAACTGCTAGCATCTTCCAGCCCTTTGCTCCTAAAGGAGCTGTTTTAGACGAAAATATCTTCAGGACCCCTCTCACCAAATCTTGAAGTGGTTCTTGTGTCTCAAGAATACTAGAATCCCCAGGGTTAGATTTCACACGATCAACTATTTCTTGAACTGTTAGTGAAGGAACATTTACTTCCTCAGCCTGTTCTAAGTTATTCACATCCACCTTATTATCATGAGAAAGATCTACTGCAATGTCTCCCTCATGCCTTTTCTTCTTCTCCTTTATGGGTTCTAGCATATCTTCTGGAAGAGGAGTGATCATGGCCAGGCGAACTGCAGAAAGAAGATGTATGATCGAGAATGAAAATCCAGTGTGAACTGTAGGTGTAATCAACGGGAATGAATTTTTCTGAGGCTTGGTTTCCAGCTCCATATCCACTGTCCCCATTTCTGTAGCAGGTGGCTCAGATGTGCCCACATCAGAACTACAACTGTCAGCCTTCTGTCTTTTCTTTGTTTTTTTCTTCGATGAAGTAGAATCTTTAATTTGTTGAAGGGTGTCGTTCTGCAATTCACCTTCATCCTTCCTATCCATTTCTGTCACGTCCCCTTTCACTTTCCTTTTCTTCTTTACTGAGTTACATACTAGTAAGGGACCATCAGATCTTTCACAGGACATGCCCATAAATGATTCACTTTGCAGCCCTGCTGCCTGTGCGAGTCTATCAGCCCCATAATCATCTTCAAATAACCTCATCTCATGGGAATCATCTTCCTCGTCAACAGCATAATCATGCAGATTTCTTGACTGCGTTACTGAAAGATCAAGGTTACCCTTGCCTTTCTGCTTTCCCTCGGTAATGAAGGCCTTAGATGATGATTTACATAACCTTTTGCCAGATTCTGATTGCAACTGGCCATTATTGAACATTTTGAAATTTTTCTTTCCTTCATCGTCGTCGTCATCATCATCATCACTGAATTTATCCAAAACTGGGAGGTAGCTCTTTCCTGACACTTTGGAGGATAGGTCTTGGAAAGAACCAGAGTCTTGAATCTTCCCCTGCTTCGTTTTCATAGTATTAACTCCAGTAAATGCATATCCATGTTGAGGAGATTTATTGCCCTTCTTTTTGGAGTATGATATCGAATCAAGACTACCCATGTGCTCCTTAATATCTTTTTTGACATACTTGACCTTTTTAGCGTCTAGGCCAGAATTCAACAACGAAGACTGTGAAATTTCCATTACACTAGGATAGGCCAACTTGCTCCTCAATAAAGGATTGCTATCCTCATCATCTTCAAACTGCTCTGATGAGTCCGATTCTGTTTCTTCACCTCTAACATACTTTTTGTTTCCTTTGGAGGAAGCAGGGTCTGGTCCCCCTTTCTGAACAAATCTTCCTTTATTTTTCTTTTGTGACGGTTTAGCTCTTAATTCAGAAAGTAGAGGTCCCTCATTTACCTGAGGTGAGGGAGATCTATATGCTTTGTAACCAAGATCAGTAGGTTCCACACCAGTCTTCCACTTCTTGCCCCTAACGTTCCAGTCAGCAGTTTTAAGCAATGGGTCCATCACAAAAGACTTCCCTTGAGTCTTGTTAAGTCGGAGGGAACCAGCAAAATCTTCAGAGTCAACTTTAGTACCTTTACGTGGGATCTGAGAAATGCTGCCCTTTGTAGACTTAGTCTGATCCCCAATTGAATGAGCATTTTCAGGCAACTTGGTTTTTTTGGACGGATTGTAGGATGTCCTCGTATTGACTGGCTTTTCAGCCACAACACCCCTCTTTGGAAACAAATTTAAATTCTTGTTCTTTCCATATAAATCACCTTTCGATGACAAAGGAAGGCCAATGAAATCGTCAAAAATGTTACCCCTCAAAGCCTCATATCTCTTTCCAGCTTCTAGAAACCCCTTCTCCATCCCACCACTGAGTAGGGCCTTTCGATCCCGTAGGGTACCCTTTCTGTAGGTTGTTTCTTCAGTAACATCACCGATCCTTGTCTCATCCCTTATTCTAAGCATTGGGCCAGAATCGTATCCAGCTACCTTTCTCAGTTGAGGGTAATCACCTACAGAACCATATGGCCTTGAGTTCATATCCAAATCATGATAAGCTGAAGGAAGGCCGAGAATGGGTTCCATTCCAGAAGGAAACTTGGATCCAGCCAACTTAAATGTACCCTTGGAATTCTGCTTTCCATATTCTGTTGGCTCAAAATTAGTCAACTGACCCCCTGATGGAAAATCTAAATTAGAACTTGCATTATATGAAGAAAAGTTGCGTATTTTAGGAGTCATTTTCTTGTCCTTGAACCTTCTATGAAATCCTTCACCTGATACTCTTTCTGACGAGTCAGTTTCTAAACCTTCAGTCCTCTCATCCTTGAAACTTTTTTGACTTCTCGTAAGACTCAAGACACGGAGCCTCTCTTCCATGCTGTATCCTCTACAGTTAAGCCAAGCATCTCTCATCTGACAAAGGCTGCTAACCATATTGTTTTGATGCTTCCTCAGAAGATGATAGTGTTGCCGCCTCTGAAAAAATTTCAGACCATCTCGGTAAAGGGCAACTCTGGGCTCACATAAGCCCCCCTGCAAAATGCTAAATAAGTTCTTTACTGGGCTTCCAAAATGGAAGTTACTACCCGTAAAAAGCTCTTTTAGCGTGAGCATAAATGTCTCTTGGTCCATGTCTGGGAGAAACTTAGAGAGGCTAAATCGCTCCTCATCACTGAGACACTCATTCCATACATCAACTGACAATATATCTTCCAAACCCGGAAGATCATACAGCTCGAGAGGAATGCTACAAGTCTGATTCCCAAGGTGGCAAAATTCCACCCCAGTTTCTCCCAATTCCAGCAAATCAAAATCATCAGACCCCGCCCCAGAATCTGCATCATCAAACTCATCATCATCATCATCAGATTCTACCGCGGAGGTACGCCTTTGAAGCTCATCCTCATCACTGGATATGCTCTTCTTACTACCGGGTGACAACTCATAGTCAAACCTCGAGACCTTAAAATTGTTCTTCTCAATAGCCATGGAACATAGAAACCGAATCAATCCCAAGATAACAAAGAACAAAAACGAATTCACTCCTCCGACTATCAAATTTCAACAACTCCGAACCGGAACACAACCAAGTCGACCTAGACCCTACACGCCCCAAAACACCAAACAACAAGGAAAGAATGTCAATATTCACCCCAACAAAGACATAAATTCAACAATTAAAACACGAAAAGAAAAAAAAAACAACAACAAATTCACGAACATTAAAGGAGAAGCAATAAAAAGGAAAAAAATTGGGAACAGCAAAGATATGGATAGAACAAATACCTCATTCGTGATTAGATTGAACAACCAAAGAAGCATAGCGCAAATTAAGAAACCCCGACCCGGAACGGAACAGAAGTCGCGAAAACATAAAAAAAGGAAAAAGAAAAAAGCAATGGAAACCCTAGGCAGAAGGCGGTTATATATATAACTGTGGTTAAGGAGAAGAGCAGGTCGAGGAGGATTGAAGAAGACGATGATGACGTGGAGGGAGGTGGAGCGTCAGATTGCGGAGAAGAAGAAGATGTGTGGAAAAGACGAAAAGGGGCAGAGGAAAGGGAAAATAGCTGCGAGAGAGGAACAGAGAGGCCAGAGCGTGAGCAGTGAGTCAACTCGGGACACGCCATTACGAGTGAGTCACCACACACGTTAGATCTCAATCATCGGATCGGATCCACTTCCGACGTCGTTTCATTTACTAAATATCTTATCTTCTACTACTGCCAATTTTTTGCCAATTGCAGGCCTTGGTGGAGTTTCAGCTTTCAACAACTGCAAAACCTTCTCCTTTGCTTCACAAACTTAACTTATACCCGGAAATTTTTAATTTTATTATATCAATTTTATATATACAGAAAACAAAAGTTTCTCTTCAATGCTGTTCTGTTTCGTAATCTTTAAGGAAACGCGCATCCAAGCCCAGTGGGCCAATTGGCCCAACTCAGATGGTTCGGTCGGCCAATGGGCTTATTGGACTTAGTATGATGGCCACACTTCCAACATGATTATCTCGCGATTGGGATTAGTATTGATAGTCTATTTAGGAATTATAATTACATAAAATAATTGAAAGATATAAAATTTACACTTTTGTTATGAAACAAGGATGGTACCCATTAAACAAATTACTAGTATATCCTTTTAACGATCCACCTCAATATTAAATAATTTTTTAAATCTGATAAATTGGGAGGTTACAATTTAAATCCCTTAATACCTAATTATACTTTCCAAAATAAAACAATCCCAAAAATTCTCAAAACCATCCATTTTTGAAACCCTTTCTTCTTCCTCCAATCGTCCGTTTTTCTTTTCTTCCTCCGACCGTCCGTTCTTCTTCTCCGATCGTCCATCTCTGTCTACCTTCCTCTCCGGCCGGTTCCGTTTTTCTCCGTCGCCCATCTCCGTTTATCTCGTTCGA